TTCTGTTGCATATGTGCCTTACAGGTGTACAGATTTTGAGCTCAAAAGCTTTTTAGTACTTGAGAGACTCCCTCGTAAGAGAATAAATGTCAGATTATAGGTGTAATGATATACTCTTAAGGACATAGTCATAAAGGTATAGGTATGTGAATATAGTTGTAAGGATATAGATATACGAGTATAGGTATAAGAATATAAGTATAAGAGTATAGACGTAAGGATATAGTCATAAGGGTATAGGTAAGATGCAGGAAGTTCAAAATTTAAGCAGAAATGTATTTTTTGTTTTGTGTGTATAGAGCTTAACGAGTTGCATAGGAAAAACACTATGTTAGAGGTTTGAAAGTTGATTTTCACTGAAGAAAATTCAAAATAATGAATTTTTCAAAAACATGCAAAATAAATGAAATTTTAAATATTATGCCAAATCCTCATGTTTATTGATGTTTCAGATTCCAAAAGTAATCTTTTGTAATTCTGCATGTAAAACTGTATATAAAACACTAGATTATCCGTTCTTATGGTCTAAAATGAACGGTGTTCCCTCAAAACATGAGTAGAACTCTTAAAGGGTTTTCTGTGCACATTGTCAATTTATCAAGCATTTTTGCATAAATGATGAGAAGTTATTTTTAATGGATTACAGTTAGTATACCAGTTGAAAAAAGTTGCATACCTGTTTAAAAGAATAATGATGCATTGTTTGGAAAATCAAGTTTGTTTATATCAGTGGTACAATAAAGCCGTATAGTTCGTTCTTCTTTCTATGCAATTTATATATTTTCGTTTAGGAAGAGGTAGAGTTCGCTAGTGCTTTCAATACACTTTACATATAGTTTAGGAAGATGTAGAGTAGGCTTGATATGTGCTTGCATGCTCTCAATGTATTCAGCTCTTATTAGTAGAGTGTGTGCTAAACTACGTCGTGCTCTTCTTCTTCTTCTAAATTAAGTCTTATATTTAGAGTTAATTAGACCGAATTACCAATATGAACGTCATAAGCCTGTTTTTGTATTAGAACTCTATTTAGTTTTCATAATAACATAAGATCAACAGTCCATTAAAAAGAAACTAATTAAAACCCAAAAATATATTTATTCAACAGCGAACACTGTGGAAAAAATGTAAATGGGACAAGATTTAGGTGTTGGTATTCGAGTTCTCTTCAAACAAGCATCCATCAAGATCCCATTTTGAATGGATATTAAATCATATTTGTGGAACATGAGAGAAACAATTCAAAATCTCTCTTCGATATTCATCGACACTTGCTTTTTTTTGCCTCTTGCTCGAGCTATATTAAGATTCGTTTTTCAATATGAGAATTAAGTAAATCACCTTCCTAAAAGCTTTCCTGATTAAGATTAAGATTCATAGTACTTAAACTAAATCTATGATCTTGCTACGTTCCAAAAAAGGTTTTGTAAAAAAATCTCACGCGATCAACCTATTTCAGTAACTTAGTCTGAAATGCGACAAGATTACATTGTCGTTTTTTAAAACAATTTATTCGACACTACATCTCACTTTTAAAATCTTCTTTTTTGTGAAGCAGCAAAATTCAAAATTAATCCAGAGGTGATAAAGCTTTTTGAATCAAATCCCTTGAAATGTGAAACTAATTTTGTTTTGCTGCCATGTTCTTACACTAATCTTCCAAAATGAGAAGTGACACTTTCAGATTACATTCATTTAGCTTCAAACAGACTACACGCGACACTTCTAAATATTTTTTACATTCAGTTAGATTTATGCTGGATTCTCTACTGGACTCTACAACTTCCGAAACTAAATATAAAATTGTATTGAGAGCACTAGCGACCTCCACGTCTTCCTAAACCAAAATACAGAAATTGCATAGAAAGCAAGAGAGAACTCTACATCTTTCTAAACTTTATGCGATTCGAACTTGAAAGTGGAAATTGTTAAATATGAGTACTTATCAATTAAAACTTGAAAATTAAATTAATTAAGTTTTTGTAGTTTTGGAAAAATAAATAGCTTTATTTTTTAACTTTAATGTTGACTGAAGTTTAAAATTTTAATAATATTTTAAAATTTTATTTGACTTATGATTGCAAATGACAAGTAGCCGTACAATAATTAAAAATTGGCTCATGTTTGGGCATTTCGATCATCAAAATTTTGTTTTCACAAAAAAACGCATGCGATATTCGAAATCAGCATAAAAAACTGAATCGAATAAATAGATTTTATTACAAAGTATTTTTCATCGAAATCCGATCCAAGCGGACACTCCGATGAATCACTTCGAATAAGCCATAGGTGACATAGGGACCGAATTTGCATGAAAAATATTTTGTAATAAAATCTATGTTATTCAATTCAGTTTTTTATGCTGGTTTTAAATATCACATGAATTTTATTTGAAAACAAAATTTTGATGATCAAAATGTCCAAACATGAGCCTGTTCTTAATTATTTTGAATTTTCTCCAGCGAAAATCAACTTTCAAATGCTTAACGTAGTATTTTTGCTATGTAATTCGATGAGTTCTACTCAGATAAAACAAAGAAAACAAAAATAAATTTCCGCTTTAATTTTGAATTAGCCGCACCTGACAAGCTAAGAGGATGTATAAGTGCATAGGTATAAGAATATAGCTATACCAGTATAGTCATACGGGCATA